TCTCTGCCCCCCTTTCCTGTCTGTCTTCAGCTGTCACTATCATAAAGGCAATAAAAGCCCAAAAAAATACTTAAAAAAAAAAAAATAATAATATTGTGAAAAAGAATAGTATAGACACAGTCTAACGTTGCAGGTTATCTCTTACCTGGAAGTCATGTAAAGCCACCTCGATCACGCTCTTCAGAGGCTTTAGGACGCACTTGTGCATGGCCTTCTCTAGCACCTGGTCTGTAAGAGATGACAGTAACACACACACACACACACAGAGAAATGAGAAACAGACATTCTTAAAGAACGACGATAGATGAACAAATCACTCATTCGTCTGGCAAACAAATGAGTCACATTTTACAACGGAATGTATCCTTGCATGTTGCGTAAGTCACATGACAGGACCACAGAAACTGCCGGATACTATAACTGTTACAGGAAGAAATGATACAATTACTGTAAGAAGGGAGTAAAACCATAAATTGAGATTAACCTCAGAGGACCTAAATCACAAAGGATGCACACTATAGGATTTAGCTGGGGTCACGATGTATTAGTTAACAAGTTAAGTTAATGTTCGGGCAATAAATAATTCACACGTCCTTTAAATTCCACTGTAAAGAAAGTTATAGATCATTGTTGTTCCGATAACAGTAAAGGAAATGCCTCCAATACTGCCTAAAATGCAAACAGGATCATGATACTGCATCCCTGCAGTGTCCTACTTACCATTTTTAAAAAGTAATAATTATTAAACAAATCTCTACAAACATGAGTAAACAATAAGATCAACAGCAGTAGCCACTGCGTGTATTTATTCTGCATCTGTTTCTTGAATGGCACAGTAAGAACCATGTTTGTACAGTACACAAAATTTATAACTCATTAATCCCAAAGTTTGATATTCCAAGAACGCAAAGTCAGGTTTTAATAGATAGATTACATATTTGGTATTCAGCTAAAGGACAACCTGAGTGTTAGGTGCATGCTCTTTGAAAAGTTAAAGAGTGGCAGATAAGTTGGAGTCTCAGTTCGAGTCTGACCTTGGCAAATCCAACATGGAGCTCAAGCCAATTAGTATACCATTCGGCTAACGTGCAGTAAAAAGTTCTCTACAATGGCTCCATCTGTACCTCACCTACATACATCGACCTCAAATAACTTCCCGCCCACATCAACTATGTACAGCATTGTCAAATTCACACAATTGTGTCTTTTTATTCACCAGCAGTACTGACATCTCCAGCCTCCAGGCACTGTTTATGCCATGCTTATGCAATGAGCTACACAGAACCAAATGCATGTTTTGCAACTTGCGCAAACAAGCAAGCGTGCAGATACAAGAACCCAGTTCTTGTGGAGAAATTCTTGCCTTTATGGTGAGTCAGCGCGGGGTGAATGCGCTCCCCTTACACTACAACACAAGCCTCCGCACTGTGTCTAAAAGCCAAGTGTTGTGGGTCGCTTGAGGTAAGGGTATGGCAGTCCTCTGTTTCACACTGCTAAGACAAATAAATCTGAAGTCATGAACAAGGGGAGGCCTGGGGTGTTTACAGAGGCTGGATAAGTTCGTCAGATCCTCGTGTGTACACAAGGAGGTGTACAAAAGCTATTAAGGACACGCAACTGGACACAATATAGTATGTACATCAAGGCACACACACACACACACACACACACACACAAACACAGACATTTTCTGACTGTGAACTTCCTGATTCCCTCCAGAAAGGGTCATTTCCTTTGTATATTGAGCAATGTTTGTTATTGGGCTTTATCTAGACTACAACCTGTTCAAAGGCTTCCCTCCACTGCAATAAACTGTAGGAGAGTCTGTGATAAACAGTCCATACACACAACAACATACGCACCAGCAAGCACATACACAAAAAATGTACTCAAAGTAATGTACATGAAAGCAAACTTTAAATTTGTGCAGTTTTGTAGTTTACAACCTAGAAATGACAGCCATTCCTTTCCATTGACATCCTCCCTCTGTTTGTTCCTATCCAGTTGTGGCCAATAAATTAGGGCGTGTTAACAGTCATACCGCCGCCCTTTGCAAACATCCAATAGTTGCTCATTGTACCTCTCGACTTCTCAAGCAAAATTGGTATGTATTGTAGCCACTACAAATACTGACGTCCAGCTCCCTTTTTACTACAAACACAAAAGGATTTAGAGACATTTCTTTCCCAAGATGTCAGACGTTGAGACATAACGTAACCACACTCTTCCCAATCTTTCTATAAACACATTAAGTGCGATTGGAGTGTGATGTCAGCCTCCTGCTCGTAGTTGGAGCTTTGTTTTTCTTTTCTGGGCAAAATGAATAGTTGTAATTCTGACACACCTTGCAACCATCTAAAAATCTACTTAACTATTTCATTATTGCACATGGCATGTTTCTCTCATGATAGTGTCTCTAAAATATCTCTACTGTCAAATTATATTCATGCTTACTGCCGTGGCCGCTGTATACAAAAAACATTTCTTCACATTTCCCCTCTCCAAAGGGAACATTGTAAGCGCGAGACGCTTTATGTGCGTGTCTGTGGTCTGTTAGCACAACCAGAATGGATCACTTCTCTGTCTCTTAACAAGGCTTTGCTGTTGTTTGTTGTTTACAATGGACAAGGGATGTGAGATGAGTGCAAAGACTTAATTACATATTCATGCAAATACTCAAGTCCAGAAAAATGTGATTGGAATGAAACATCCCTTTCATATGGCTGCTCGAGCCTGCAAGCTTTATTTTTACAATCATCATGACCTCTAAGAGTATGACCAAAATCAGCAATAATACCACAACAATACTTTTTTTTTTTTGATGCCATGTTTTTTCAACAACAACTCTTTTCTCACGGAGCTAAAGAAGCTTACGTTTTTTGAAATTCTAAATGTCTAAGCACAACTGTACAGGAATTTTGTCTCAATTAGAAAGAGTCTTCCTATCTGACAAATCAATCGATGACAGCGTTCCGCACTTTTTCCAACTTAGTGCTACAGACACATTTCAGTTGGTAACATATTTCTGACGTTCAAAATGATCCTCAACTGCACTGTGAGCGCATGCCGACCAACAGAAGCCAAGAATAACTCACTGGGACACAGCACGCTGGCATTTCTGTAACTCAACACAAGTAATGAGACAGACTAATATGGAAAACCTCAACTACTATGTCTGAATCCCAGGCACTGGCTGAACATTGTGAATGGATGAAGTCATTTTGAAATCCTTTTCTGAAACAACCCTAAAGAGGCTTTACTTCTGAAATTAAAAAACTGGAAGGAAACACGTAGAGCTGTGAATGCTGTCAGAGATGGGATATGACTAAAACATCCCACACACATGCCCACACACAGATGTTTCACAAGCTGAGGAAGCATGATACCACCATGCAACCAACAAATCCTCAAAAATACCTTCAACTTTATGGGTTTAAAGACTTGTGACTTACCTATCTGGTCCTCAGGTATGAGAGACTCAATAGGGGGGTCCAGCTCAGAGCTCTGACGCAGGTAAGCCTTCATCTGTGTCATAAACTGCCTGAGAGTCTGCAGAAAATCCATCCCTGATGTGTGACAGCCTCGGTTCTCCTGAACAAAGCTGATGTAATCCTGGACCAGGGAGCCAAAATATGAGCTTTTGTCCCTGGACAGCTCGGCGATCCTTTTCACTGCCCGTCTCTCCGGGGTCATGAAGGAGCTGAGCATGCCGCTCACCTTGCGGAAGCGTCCCTTCAGGGCCCTGGGGAGGATAAAGGAGCCGCCGCCAAGGCTCACACCGACCCTCTGCCGCCGCCGCACTTTGAGCGACGGGCGGAGGCGCATTTCTAGGTCCGTCTCTAGGCCGACCCCATAGTCTTCCTCCTCGTCCTCTTCCCCGTCGTCATCGTCTTCACTGCTGTCCTCCACTGGGTCTTGATGATTAAGGTGTAGGGACGGGCTGGGGGCCAGGCCCAGGGAGAATCCAGGGGACTGTGAATAATCCAGTGAGTCAGAAGAAGAAGTAGACATGCTCATGTCACTGAGTCGCTGGCGTCCCCTCTCATTAGGAATGGACAGACTCCCAGCGTTATTCTCCAGTAGTGCATCAGCAGGGACAGCAGGTGGAGGCTGGCAGGGCGGAAGCTTGGCACGGGACAGAGCCTTAGCGATGGTCTCATCATCCAGGGCAATGTGGCAGCGGTGAGCTTCCAGATCAGGCTTCTTAGGCCTTGGAGGCGGTGGGTTTGAAGGCACAGGGATTGGTGAGCTGGCAGTCTTGGACGGGCTGCTGTGCTTGGCACCCATCGGTGGTCGAGCGGGGGCTGGGCGCCTGCAAGAGGGCTGTTGTTGCTTTGTAGACACAGCAACAGCCTCTGGCATGCTCTTGGGTCTGGTGGTAGCCGCTGGAGGGCCAGGCGGAGGTGGGGCAGGGCGCCGGCGTGGCATCGAGCGTGGAGGAGGTGGGCGAGGTGGAGGGGGATGTGATTTGCCGTTGAGTTTGATCTTGTCCACGTGCTGCTCACTACCTTGGTTGCTGCTTGATGGCTTTACGGACGCATTCCCTGCATTCTCTAGGTTGTTATCAGACTTGATTTTGGCACGTGAAGGCGGATCGTCCCCACAGCAGTGGTGGTGATGAGTCTGGAGAAACAGGGGGTTGACAAAGCACAGAGGACCGCTGGAGTGCCTTCTCTCCAGATGAAAGGAAGGTGGAGGAGCGTGAGACCGTAGAGTCGGGGGTGCACTGTCGCAGTGAGCCCCGGCGAGTCTCTGCTGTGACCCTTTGACCTCCCTGTTCCTGTTAGTTCGCTGGGGGCTGAGGGTACGGCTCAGAGGGCGACGGGGACAGGGAGAGGTGCGGCGCTGACTACACAGGGCAGAGTCCCAGAATCCTGTAATACACAGACACAGAAACCCTCAGAATCAAACATTAACTAACTTTAAACCAAACACACACTTCCCAGCAAGGGAATATCCTCAGACACCAACTGGGATCAGGAACCTTCAAATGAAAAGATCAGTTAAAGAAAAGATGTAAAAGACAGCATTCTCAACTATCCCTCACCGTGTGACCATGTCTCTTTGCATGTCTTTCTGCTTGGTTGTGTCTTTTTGTCTTGCTGGCAGCAGAAGTGTAGTGAGCTCTGCCCTGTGTGTCTTTGCTCTGAATCACTGAGTGCCGACACACAACCAGAGACACAAAGAGGGAGTCGCCCATGTTAATCACAGAGTGGGAGGGCACTCAACACACCACACGGCACACAGTTCCAGTTCCTCCACTCCTTCTTCCTGCTCCGTTTCCCTCTGCTTCTACATAGCTCTACAACGTGCAGTATTTCCCTGCAGCTCCCCTAATTGAGTAGATTTAGGACTGTTTACAGTGAAATGAATGTATTGCTGTCTCTAAACCTTATTTATATGATTTTCATATTGACAGTGCAAGTGTCCCATAACAGTGGAGGGCATGTGCTCCCATTTTGATCTTCTTGTGTGCTTTCCTGCAGAATCATTCCATTGTTTTCAGCTATTTGGCAAGACAGTTCTCATGCTAATACACTCTTTAAGCTTTAATAACCACTTGAAAATAAAGATTCTACTGTATCCAAAAATACATAAAACAAATTGAAAACTTCAGTTTTAAAATATCTATGCAGTGACTGTAGCATGAGCTCAGTGATGACTGTTCCTGCAGGCTATAAATGGAAACATTAACTCTTGCATTCATGGGGCAATAAAGAAGCAGGGTCCAGCTGATAGAGCAGTTTCACACGTCCTATAATACCTTGGTGTCTGGAGACTGAAATCTGCCTGTGGTATTCTTACTGGTCCATGTGAGAAATGACCACCTGACACCGTGGAACCAGGCAGCCCACTCCAAATAGCACATTTAATACTGACTGACCTCGGATGCGACGTTTGATTTATGTTCATATTAATCTGTAATATTTAATTGAAGAAGATACAGTACATTCTTAGATAAAAGCCATTTTGTTCAAATAATGGCTGCATCTCAAATGATGATGAACAAATAAGCCATTATTTGTTGTTACACGGTCATGTGTAAGCCGGGTAAAAATAAAATCTGCATAATGTTTGTATTTCCACAGCACTAATACCATCTGCAACACATCATACTCACACTGCTGATCTAAAACAAAAACTGTTTTTATTTGCTTATTAATTCCAATCACTTTGTTTTTGTTTGTTTTTTCAAGCAAGGTTAAGATGGTTTTATTGAAACTCCCCACTTCCTTCTGATTTTTCAAACCAAAACCCTACCAGGAACAGGAGCAATTGTTCACTGTGAGATTCTGAAATGTGAGACATTTGTGCAGGAAATCTTGAGTTTCATTGACCATAGCTTAACAGTGATTAAAACAACAACAATAAAATGGAAGCAACTGTAAATAAAAAAACAGTAACTCTGTTAGAGAAGAACAGTTCACAGCAAGTATAACATGACTCTTTTGTATTAATGGCAATTAAAATAGGAGATCAGAAAACACAGGTTCCTTCCATAAACATAGTAAGGCATATATAAAACAGGTGGAATTAGAACTAAAGGCATGTCTATATACGCCTTTTTCAAATAAAGACCTGGTATTGAGGTTACTCATGATTTCAGTGAATAACAAGACTACACAGCCATGCTAGCAGCTCTGTGACGTTGTACTTTTAGCTAAATGCAAATATTAGAATGCTTTACAATGCAGGCATAATATTAACTATGTTCACCATCTTAAATTAGCATGCAAGCATGCTAACAATCACTATTAAACAGAGTAAAGCTGTCAATGTTGACCTGATGGCGCTAGAAAAGTAGAAGAAAAGTTACAATTCAACAAAGCGGCAACCTCTGTGGCTGACAAATGAAGCCTAACTAACGTAACATTACTTCTTCATTGATTCTGTCCCATTGGTTCAAACAAAGCAGATCAGGGGAATTAAGTGTCGACCTGCTGGTACTGAATAGCGCTACAGTTAGGTAATTCAGGACATAAAGGGAAATACATTTATTAGTGGCACATTTTTTAAATAACCTTTTAGTCTTTGGGCATGGGGTTAAGTATGTAGTAAGTATTTTCAAGTCAAAAGTCCAAGTTCAGTTGCAAGTTTTTTTTGATTCAGTCAAGTTGAGTCTAAAGTCATCAAATTTGTGACTCAAGTCTGACTCGAGTCTACACCTGTGGAAATATCCATAAGTGACTGAATATTTATAATCAAAAAGTAAAGTAAGACGTGCTTAAAAAAAACACTTAAAAGGTGCCTTTCTAACTTAACAACACCCTCCATTCCCTCTTGGAAGGCAAATCAGTTGCAAAGTCACTGCTATACTCAAATGTCTCTGAAGCTATTTGTAACATGTGTTTGTGTTTCACATGTGCGTGCCCAGATTCCACAACATAGAATATGGCCGTCTCCTTTTGGTCTTTAAATAGAAGCTTTCCAGTGCAGATGGGGAGTTTCCCTTAATGTACTAGTTAGCTAAGAAAAGACCAAGCTGGCTCACACTTAAAGTATTTTTCAAACTCTACCCCTTCACATCAAATGGAAGAACAGCAATGCAATGGCATTACAGTGCAGGCTTACACCCTCTTCCATTCACAAGTACCTATGACACAGGTTACCCCACATGTGTTATAACAGCACTCATCCTTGCAAACCTTGTGTGTTTTCATACATAGTGTGATGGTATGTGTGTGTTTGGACAGCGCACAGCCTACTGTAGCTTTCCACTCGCCACTCCTTTCTCGCCCCACACTGAGCACTGAGCTATGTCGTAGGCTTCCACTGTAGGAAGCTGACTCATTGCAGTTTCCCAGCAGCTGAGCCTAGAAGAACTTGACAGAAATGAAGTGTAAATCTGCTGTGAAACCAGACCTGAGAGGGCAGCTTGATTTGACAACGTAAAATAAATAAAACCTGTGCAAACAAATACTGGCCTACTGTTGACATGTTAGCAGGCGCAGCATTCACAGGCACCCCTGGGGTTGGAGAGATTGTGGTATTTTAAAGTACCATACTGGTGTTTAAACTTTTAAAATCTTGTATACTTTAGCCATATTACTTGTAACCTTTTTCCAATTTGTTTCAGTGCATTTGGTCTGCTTTGTCATATTATTATGTCTTCTCTTTATGTCATAGTTCTGTCTCAGTTGTGTAATAACCTCATTATAAACAATCTAACGTAATTTATTTGTGAGCAGAGATGGTTTTCCCTTGGTGGTCTGCTGAAGGTCACTCTGACATTTGCAACTGACAGAAACATTACATTCTGGAGCTACAGATGTTGTTGGGAAATAAACAAACATGGACCTCATGACAACGATTTCTTCCTAAAGAAAATGCTGAATGGCAATCTACCCCAATCTACCCAAGTTACCTTCCTCTGAATGCACCAAAACAGTTTCCAAAACAGTCCCTGTTCAATTAGTGGGAATGGGTCATGCATGAAGTTAGCTTATTCACTTTCTTTCTGAGAGTAACACCCTCATTTAACGTTCCTGCTACAAAGCTGGGGAATGTTTCACAAAAGCAGAATTAAGAAATCCAGGATAACTGAAAAAGTGAGGCTTGACCTAGCCCAGTCAGAGCATCTTGGCTTAATAGGTTTCAGGAAGGCTAAACCAGACTGAGGAGGTGCAGCTAGGGGACATCTGTAATGAAGTAATTAAGATAAATCTTTCTTTAGCAGACCATGAGTTTGATCACAGATTTACTAAGTAAATCAGATGTTTACTGATCTTGAAATGGAGACGTATTAAACATACTTTACATAATAGAAGCTTATGTAAAGCATTATCTAAAACAGGAAACACAGTCGCTGTAATAACACAGAGAAAAAGCGTGGCAGAAACTGCGGACTGACTGAATGCGTAAGTAGCCTAAAAATAAAGATCAAGGCTACTAACCACTGCTCTCAAGGAGTCACTTGCCCTTTGCACGAATGAACAGTTGTACATTTGCCTTGAAAGGGAACAGTGAAGGTTAATATGTTACTCAGGAAATTTGTTGGGTTGCTTTATGAAGTTAATGTAGAACAAAGTGTGGAACATTTCTAACTGTGTTTAATAATGAATTTGATTTCACAAAAACCTGCCCACTGCACTCTATTGAGAAGACTCCTGGAGGTGTGTGAGCCCAGCAGCTGGTCGCCAATAAATAGTTACAGCTCATAACTAAACCACCAATTGTAATTCTTTATTTATTTTTGTGTATTAACTAACTAAAGGAAATACAACATGCTTTAGAGGTGTTGGTAGGAGCAGTTTTAAACACTGGAGAGAGCTAACCGTTTCCCCCTGATCCGGTCTTTATGCTAAGCTAGGTTGATTGCCAGCTCTGTACTTAAGGCACAGTCATAAACAGCATCAGGCTTCTCTTCTACATTCCAAAAAGAAACTGAACAAGACGTTTGATAAAAGAAAGCACAGACAACATTTTAGATTACCTTTCTCAAACAAAAGTTGTTTGAACTGCTCGTTAATACAAAATTTCCAACCAATAGAGACATAAATGAGGCTACCTGCTCCAAGCTGAGCCACCTCCTCCAGTTCTTTCTGAGTCTTAGCAGATGCAATGGCCTCTGGGAGTTTGAGTGTGAATGGCAGGAGATCCCTAAATGAAAGATGAACAGGTGACAAATGTGACAGAAAATAAATACAAGGAATAGAATATAAGAAAAGATTAAAACATGGAACAAGGAAGGAGCTGCAGTAATCACATTCAATTTCTTGTGAGTTGAGTTACAAAACTTAACATGCTGATTCATCCATGTACCTTAAATTTACTAACAACAGCGTTTAATGTTCAGTGCTTTATGGTCAGGGTTATAGTGCATAATTGTCCTCATTTGACAGTAACATCCCAGAACAAAAGTGATGATGCCATACGTTTGGTTGGCAAAACAAAGCCTAAACCCTGGCATACAGAGAAGTGAAAATACTTTCAATCATCATTAATATAAACATGCTGACACACCCTGTGTTTCCATTACAATGCCACACACATCTGAACTTAAGATATATACAATCCTCACAATGTTAGGACTGAGAATGTAAATTAACATTCAGCCCAAAAAACATAATCTGCATTTGTAAACTGCAGGAGGCCTGTCTGATGAGCAGCCAGCTCTCTAGTTGAATCCATTGTTGTACTGCCTGAAGCACTATTTATTTCCTTTATTTCCTGTGTCTGTTGTTTTAACTCCTGTGTCTGTCTGTGTTTCCCGGGCTGGCACACACTAAAACAAGAAGTGAGAGCCTTGGGCACTGAGAGGGGACTGCTTACTCAACAAACATTATTTTCATCCATGGAGTTTCCATCCTCGAATCTCCCTCTCATCATCACAGAGCAAAACACGGAGAAGCCGGAAATGTCATGGATGGATAGACAGAAGAACAAATGTTGGTCGTTTACCTGCTGATACAGTAGAAAGCCACCAGACGAAACAGATCTGCAAAGCTGATTCCAGATCCCTCAAGAGAAAAGGCTGCAAACAAATGAAACATGCAAAGATTGAATTAAGTTACTTTTCGTCATGATACCAGGGAGGGTCTATGAATTGTGATGTTGAGTCAGTTCAATTAAATGACAGTGAAAGTGTCACATTTGTATTGTTTATATATATATATATATATATACACACATTGCAAGTTGATCACAAAATAACTCACTGATCAGTAACTTTCTACTCATTCAAACAATAGCATGATATTACAGCACCAGTGAGGTGGGGTCTGTCATTCTGGGGAAAGATAGTTGATATTTGAATCTCATTCACAGGTGGTCAAATACTTATCCTTTGGCGACCCAAAACTTCAGTCCTGGGAATTAGTCATGAAGCTGTGACAGGGCCAAAGTGTGATGACATACCAGCTGTGGATTTTCCCTGCTGAAATGACAGCACACATGGGACGATGGGAGTGCCTTTGGCCTGCTTTGGCCTTTTAGATATGGGTCAGCTGCTCTCCAGTTGGCCTCTCATACCGCACAGACTGCTGTGCTACCCTACCCTTGTGCATGAACGGTTCGAACTTAACTTTTAAACAATAGTTTTGTTTAAAAAAATAAATAAAATCACCATTCATTTTTAAGTCACATTGCTCATTAGCATGCACATTCTTTCTTGAAACTAGGCCTAAATATTACATTTGAAAGGGTAAATGGTGAATGTGTCTATATGTAGATGCTGAAAGCTGAGAGACAGTGTTGCAACTTCATATCAGAGAGCCGTTAGGGGTCGCCAAACCTTCACAGGGGGTCGCAAGGTCTTCTTGATTGTAAGGTGTATATGAAAACTTAAAAAATACACACAGTAGGCCTATAGCTTAGCATTTAGTTGACTTCTGTGAAGAAAAGTAAATGTAGTATATAAGTATATTGTCTAATAGAAAAATGGCCAAGCATCAGGGACAAGAAAATACTGAATTTGTCAAAAAAGAAGCCTATTAAATCCGTATGATGTCTGTGTGTTGGCATAAGAGGGGCACTAAATTTAATGGTAATCCAATAGCGTAATTCTCATTCGTTAGGAGGATACATCATCTTGGAACCATGAATATCTTTACTAAATATTGTGCCAATCTATGTAGATGTTTAGATACAAATTTGTAGAATAATTAAAGACTTTGATCTGCAGATGGCGCTAGATAAAAACTCAGGGGATCACCAAAGTCATCAGAATTTATCCTCCAGGAACCCTGAATACTGTACCAGATTTCCTTGCAATCCCTTCAACATTAGTGTAGACATTTCACAAATGTCAAGTCATTTGGATTTATCCTCTGAGGACCATGAACATCTGTATAAACATTTGCTGCAATCTATCTAGTATTTGAGATGTTTTTAGTCTTGACTAGAGTGATGGACCAGTCAACCCACACTGCCATCCCTAGAGCTACACTGCTAACATGGCTTAAAATCTTATTTCATAATAACTTAGGTTTGGCCAGAAGTGCAGGAAGTCAGTTCAGTGATAGACCTCCATTCAACCACATGATGCAGTGCAGCCCACCACACCATTAGCAGTTTGCTCTCTGTGAACCCCTAAACCATCCCCAGTCTCAGCCCTTCCTCAGTGTAATATTACTAACCTCTAGTGGTGGCAACCTAGAACACTTCTAGCAGGACAACAGCTACCCCAAGTAGCTGTCCCCACTATGCTCCTGCAATAATGAACTAAAGAAAATGAGAAGTATATATTGTGAATTAAATACCAACGCAAGACTAATTATTGTAAGATTATAAGCAAAGTTACACATTAAATGAGAGTCTTTGTTTTAATGAAATAAGATCACATTAAATTTTTAAAATAAAGTCACTCATACAGAGCTAACTACAGTATGTTCCCTGTTCAATGTCACTTGCAAGTGCAAACAAACATGTGACCAAAAGCTGTGCAAGGCACGGTTGGCTGTAGACGTTTACTGAAGACAGAGCCATTATCAGCAAACCTTTCAGAGAGTGGGGAGTGTGTTACTGTAGTCACATCAAGTGCAGACCAACAGTTTGTACCGACAGTTGCATTAATTTATTTTTCACAGCAGTCATTTTGACATGAAATAGTAGGGTAAATAAAGGTTTTACTGATGATACTAATTAAGGTTCTGTTCCATTTAGTGTGTAGCAAAACCTTTCCAGTGAGCCAACATGCGCAATAGCAGCACCCTGAATGTGTTAATGGAATGGAACCTTAATTAGTATCATTGTTAACACTTGTACCCTACTATTTCACATCAAAATGGCTGCTGTGAACAGAGAATAGAAAAGAGGAATTAGGGCTGCACAATTAATCTCCGTATTATTGAAATCACAATATGGCCAAGTACAATATCCAAATTGCAGAAGCTGCAATTAACTGAATAAGGTAAAATATGTGACAAAACAACATTATAACAATGTAGTGTGATGCTGCAGAGATACCCTGGCCAACAAATCGTGTTCTTCAGATTTAAGACAACATGTTTTTTGGTACAGAACTCAACAAATGTCACATCATTAGGATTTTAATAGTTGTTTTCAGGTAAAATAAATTTGTGATGTAAAAATGATCATTCCCTCTAATCGTGAATCATATCTGTCAAAATAATGGCAATATGATGTTTCTACCATATTGTGCAGCCCTAGAAGAAATCTTTAAATTCAAAGTTCTTTTGAGCCCCACAGTGGCAAGCTTACAAACACGATTGGGTCACACATTCTCATTTCTCATTTGTATACTGGTTTATCTTTGCACACAGTATGCGGAGGCGGACAGGAAATTAAATTTTTAATTCTCTGACCAGTGTATAGTATGACTGCTGTGGCTCAACAAGACATAATCAAACCACTGACACTGAAAGACCACAATTTGAACTACTTTCTTTTTGAGAGTGAGGGCTACCTAAAGGGAGAAAATTATCGGGAGGGCTATTCTATACCTAAAGAACATTCATGGTAAACTGATGCTTTAAATAAAATTAAATAGAAGTGTGTTTTTTCACCTTTCGTCATTGGAGACCCCTGGTATAGGCCGTTACTACTAAACCATAGCATATGGAACATATCTTGGACAGTGCCAGATTGTGTAGCAAATTCCAAAATTGACTAAATGTTTGTTAAGCGTAATCTGGCAATATTTAAATTATTATATCTTGATGTGGCTCCAGCACTCCGGATACAGTCAGTTAAAACAAACATTACAGTTACTCACTGTACTGGCTCTCTCTGACAGGGAAGTGGCTGATGGGAGTTCCTGATTGATCCTCCTTCAGACGCACGGAGAGAACTTTTCTCTGCAGAGCGGCTGACTTCCTGACCAGGAAAACCTACGCCATGCAAAGAGAGGTCAAGAAGTATAATACAATCTCAGACAATATTCAGATATTCAGAGGAGACACGCTAACATTTGAATCCCAGGATGGTAACCCCTCACCCCCGGTGGCTGCTTGAGCAGTATGTGACTGGCCTCCTCTTCGCTGACTGCCAGCAGCAGCCACACCGGGTGGGTTTGAGTCAGCCTGTCCAACACGCTCATCCTCCTCCGCAAGGAGTCGTACCCAGAATCCCTCTCAACCCCCACCCCGCCACAGTGGGGGGACTGCAGGTAAACACCACTCACTTCATTCTCCAGCCTGGCAGAGACACAGAGGGTGAAAAACCTTTGCCCTCTGCTGGTGACAATGAGTATATAGCAGCATTCACAAATACCACTGAAGGAAATCAGATTTTAATGGAATACAAAACAATGCAGAGCAATACACGACCTGCCTCATCGACATAACATTTTAAGTATTATGAGGCATAAAAACTAGACCAGGCAGGTTGATGAAAGTTTCAACAGAGAGTGTGAGAAAAAAGCAAAAACGCAAAAAAAAAAGTAAAGAAAAAGGTGGGAAACCGTCTTACCCTTGTAAGTCCATGGGCTCCTTGTCAACTGTTGGAGAGGTCTGGACCATCTCCTTCTTCAGCTCCCCAATCTCCAACGCAAATGTGTCAATCAGCTGAAAGACGACAGAATGAGAGACTTTGACTGATGAGGGAATATTAGGAGAGGAGGAGGAGGAGGAGGGGGAACAGCAGTAACGTTAAATGAAACTGACAGCATTGCTCAAACGTAAATCAGAAAGAAGAAACTGCAACTGGAGGACGGAGGGACCGTATCAGTCACGTCTAGAACAAAAGGCAGGGAAACGGTTAGTCATTTTTCCTGTGTGTGGACCTCATTTCCGATAGGCAGGAAACATGGAGACAAAGCACTGTCAAAAAGTGACCCACATCAACATCCACTGTGCGCTAAAAAAAATTTCCAAAGTCGTTAACTGTTCTCCCAGTGTGTCCCAACTGAAAGTGCAATTTCTGCAATAAACAGCACAGCTGCTTGTAAACCTCTGGATGAATCTCCCATGTCATGATGGGCTATTTTCAGGCTGACAGAGATAAGGGTTGTCGCACTGTCGTCATTTAAATCTATCTTAAGCACTAATTAGTCAACAGAGTGAGTGGTCTAATAACGACAGTGTGGGATTGTGTCTTTGTGCTCTATTTAGTTTCATCCCACAACTATTTGGGAATTTATATTGTGATGAAACAGACATGGAATGTGTTTTGCAATCCCTGATACCAACCTCACAGCATACAGAGAAGCTTTTGTAGCTTGCTGCTCAAGAGAATTTGTTTATTCTTTTATTTTAGAATAAAAGGAGAAACATTAAGATGGATCTAGAGCAGACAAAATAAAGCCCACTTTTTTTGCCTTACATTTTGGCAAGTTGGCACTATTTATTGATTGATTGATTTAGCCATTGGCACTTCCTGTTTGCAATGTACCCGTGGATGTACAGACTAAACACTGGATCTCTTTGATACTGAAGAAAACATAAAAATATGATGATTCTCAGGCAAGTTCTGGATTTACAAGGCCATCTTTTCTCTGTGATTTCTGAGCTTAATTACAGATGATAATTCGGAGAAAACAATATACTCAGTAATATAAACCAGGCTGACTCTAAAAATGCATTGTGTGTGTTTAGATCTTTGACTGTATATAGATGGACGACAGGATGGACGTCCTGGACGACAGGATAGCTCTCCACTAGTAAATCATAATCTTGATCGCCCCCTGGTGGCTGGCTGCAGTATAGGTCCTATATAGTATAACCCCATACGTCAAATAAATGTAGCTAACAGGTAGTTATTATCACACTGATGTATGTTCATCTCTCTGATAAGTTTGATGGAATAAAAGGGAGTGTGACATTGTGATTGACAGCTGAGCCCTGCTCATGATCAAGCCTGCAGGGTATATGGGCAGGACCGCCATACCGGGGATCCAACCCCGATCACTACCGCGCAGACTCTGGCTCCAAATGACGTCACCATTTTTGTGCACTGGAAGGAAGTGGAGACACGTCGTCCATCAGATTTGACCAAATTGTGAGAAAAGACGTGTGCAATGTTTTGACACAAACTGTAGCAGTCTGGGTGAGAACCATAATTGCCTCTGTGAGCTGCGTGTCACAGCCTCTGCTGCTGCTAGAACTGCTGATAAGCAGTCAAAACTATAACTAACTCATTGTTTATAGAACACCAGCATGCGCCTGTCCCTTTCACCTCAAGCAGCATCTTTGCCTCATGTCTCTCCCTCCCCCTCTTCAACCCTTCCACCTCGCTCACAGTTTGAAAACCTCTGATCGAGTAATGAAAGATACATCAGCACGCAATTCCCCTGCAAAAGGAGTCCGCAAAAATAGTCGAAAAATGACTTGGTTACATAAAGACGGCAACTAATTGCTTTCATGTTGTTTTGGGTTTTTTCGCTCTTCTCCACATTCCCTCATTCCAGATTTTAGAGCTCTCAAAGGGATTCAGAGCCTCCTCGAACATATCTGAGCAGATGTTGGAATTTGGATGCTTTACACTGATGATGTGGGTCAATCAGTGCAAGAAGATGGCTTCCCAAAGCCTATTCACGCATTATATTGTTGCATCTGGCCACAGAGCACAATATAACGAAGGCCAGGAGTCTGAGGCAATCAGGAAAAGTATGTCAGTATGAACTATACATGGAAAATCTGTCATATTACCATTACTCTTTTGATGTGGTGAACTCTGCCTATTTAGTGCGAACACAAAGAATTATACACAAATACAGCTTTTAATGAAAGGTTTCTGCTTCCATTACACATTTCAACCAGTTGGAGGCATCCTTTTCCAAACTTTCCTTCACCAGCTGGGCTCCAGGCCAGACCACAGTCACCACAGGCCCCTCTAATTCCCCCCTAGCAGGACTAAGTGGAGCCAGCTCAGTTAAAGCCACAGACTCCCCCAGCTTTGTGTCAGGTCAAAACTCTATTATACAACATGAGTCGACAAGTTAGTTCTAGTGCTAGCGGAGCACTGAGAACTGTTCAGTTCAGACACAGACTGGGGATGCTCAATTTGATCCCTAGTGGAGACAGGGTTGGCTATTAGAGTCTCGACAGCTGACCATTACTGGAGGAAGAGCCAGCGCTCTCACGCAGCAGAGTGTCATTTTTCCTGTCAAAAGCAGTGAGAACCCTAAAACCAGACTCTAAAAACAGCCCGTGTCAGTTTAAACTCCTGAAGTAGACTGTGGTTGCATCCCAAAGAGGGAAACATTTGGAAAATTCTGTCCTTTCAGCCCTTTAAAGTAACAAAAATAATTTCTACAAGCTGTTGACAGGGATTAATTCTGGCTTATAAAGTTTTCATTTGTTCCATATTAAACACAACTTATGTGCATTCCTGTGTATGTACATTGAGAGAAATAAAATAACGGATTCAAATTCCTTGTAGGTGTACACATAATTGGCCAATAAAGCAGATTCTGACCTGATTGAAGCAATCAATTCAACAAAGGCAAAGCACGATGGCCAACCAGGACCAACTGTCAACACGTTTGCAATAATTTAATTTATTGAACATTTGTCTGAGAATATGCGCTATTAAAGCAGAGTAACAACTTATAAGAAAGGGCCCAAAGATGGGTCCTGCTTTATTACCTTATTTATTACCTATCTTTAGGCCTGTATCCTTGTGTCAAAATCTAATTTGTGAGTGCAAACGTACTGCATACTTCTAAATAAACTTTTGTGTTGTGTTGAATCAGATTACTGTGCAGCAGTTCTTTGACAAACAGCATGTGGTGCTTGAAGACTGTGTAGCACAGAAAGTCAGGGAACATACTGTAGGCTACTCATGAACTTAAACTATGGTTTTTGTCAAGTATTTTACAAGTATTCTGCATACCAAAGCAGATCAATTCTAGTATGGCAGCCTTATTTGAATCATCTTGGACCTGATTTTTTTTCCATTTTACAAGGAGCCTACTGAACCTGAACTCTTGTAATCTGTGATTTACCTGCCACATATACTATTTTTTAATGTAATTGTTGCTTATGTTTGTTATTTTTGTGGAAAAGTATGAAAATCAAATTAACATATTGTTTTAAATTGTTTATTTATGTTGTCACTTTGTTAATTTATTACAATAACTTTACTGAATAAACTGGTATGAACCAAACAGAATCAGTTTTTTCACACATCAGTCCTTATTCAAGAGTGATCATACTGAACAGCCTTGTTATGTTCATGAAGACTGCAGTAGGAACTGTAAAACAGACGAGAGATAGACCCATTAGTAGCTGCTTGTTACATTCATGATTACAGACTGTAAAGGGATTATTCACCAGGTCGCTAGATTCAGATGTTGATGAAGTTGAGCTGATGGTCCATGTTGATACATGCTACTATTATTACACCTGAGCAGAGACAGTGCATATATACAGTCACATATATGTACTGCCCTTGTTTTTCCACTGTGTCTCTCTATAGGTCCAGTGTGTAACATTTAGGAGGATCTATTGGCAGAAATTGAATATAATATTTAAAGGTATGTTTACATTAGTGTATAATCACCTGAATATAGGAATCTTTATGTTTTTGTTACCTTAGAATGAGATTTTTATCTCCAGAGGGAGTGGGTTCTCTTCTAGTCCGCCACGTTTCTACAGTAGCCCAGAACGGACAAACCAAACGTTGGCTCTATATAGGGCTTTTGTGTTTTCGCAAGTTTCTCCTAAACGCTTGGAATGGGAGGGTGAGGTGAGGCCGTTGTAATCTCAAACTTCATCGCTAGACAAAAAAAACAATAAATTGATGTTTAAGGACCCATAATTCAACTTTGGATATGTTACAGGTAGACGGCGACATTGTTGCAGGAGACCTCAGTTCCAGAATACTGTACACAAGGGGTGCACATAGAGTTAGAGGAACCAGCCGCAAGAGAGGGGCCCAACTGCTCATTTTTGCCCCATGGCCCCCATAAAGAGTTATTAATCCGGCCATGGAAAGAAGCAGAAAGATACTTATTACCTTCTGTTAAGAAACAGGCATTGAATTATGAATGAAAATTAGGGCCAGAGGAGACATGGGAAATTCCTGAGCTATGAAATGAAGGTCAGTGAACACAAGAGTTGTTGAGTGAAGTCTGGCTCTGGGCACAGTGCTTCTCAGGGCTCTAATGGTGGCGCCCATGCAGGCCTTATTTCACACTGATGACTTTTAGAGGAAAATGACTGACGTTCAGGAAAGCTCTTAACAACAGAAGTCTGTGTTTCACTTTTATCAACCTCCCAAATTCATTCATCTGGTTTGTTTCCATTCTTGATCATTGATTTCATTCCCTCTGCACAACACATGGGTGCAGAGTTAGACCAAAGCAGAGAGGCAGATCTCACGCACACATAAGAGGGTTATTTATTCAGCTCCTTTAAGATTGCGAATGTGTGTGTGTGTGTGAGAGTGTGTGTGTGTGTGTGTGTGTGTGTGTATAGAGGTAAGTGATTCTCTGCATGGACGCCTGTTAAAGCCATGGATGGAGTCAATGGGAAACTATGTGTTTGGTTTTGACACACAGACGCATGCAGAGAGCGCTTTCACAGTTAGTGAGGATGGAAAAAACTGCAAAGGAAATTAAAAGTGAGACAAGTTTCAGTGTTTGTTTCATTGTTGGTCTAAATGGGTCTTTTTATAGCTTTAAAAGTGGGTTTAATTAATTCATCTGTAAGACGCCGAGTGAACTTAGAAGATGCAGCCAGGTGAGAGCTATAAATTTCTACTGAGACACAGCATGCATCAACAGGATTTGGCCGCTAGCTTGCCAAAATGTTGCAGAAGAGCAAGATTTTTACACTTGTCCATTGCTGGGGCTTACAATGAACAGGGCTGTAGCTGAACTACTGTAATTTATATGTGCCGCAGTATATCATTCACTTCTTTGTAATCCAGGTCAGTCATCAGGGAGAGACTGACAGAAGACAGGCGAAGATTAGGCCTCCTATTTAAGTACATGTATTGTGCAAAAATAGGGGCTAGTAATGGCAACTCTGGCTCTTTTTGGCGAGCCAGATCATCGGCAATATGTTTTTACCTATGACTGGTAGGTGTGCACATATATCACTTGAATTATTCAATGTAGCCTAAATGCTAAACTTTAGCATTTCCAGAATAACATAATGTTTGGGATAAAAACATTAAATAATAGTAAAAACACCAAATGATATTACACGTGTAATACATTTATTTGTATTAGACTGTGTTTTGTAGGTAGGTTCTTTGTAAGTCTCACCATGCATGGATGTTGATGTTGTTACTGAAGTGATTATACCTAAAAAATACGTAATACAATTATCATATTATTATTATTATTA